CTTTGCAAAGACCCTCACATTTACTTCTCTTACAACCCCATCTATAAATATATTAAACAACCCGTGACATCACACATCCTTGTCTAAGGCCTACTTTTACTGGAAATAATTTCCCTCTTTCCTACATACTCTAACTTGACCTCACTATCCTCGTAAAAAAAATCTTCACTGCTTTCAGTAACCTACCTCCTACAAACCCTACACCTGCAACATCTGCCCCATTGCCCCCCTATCCACCCTGTCATATGCCTTTTCCAAATCCATAAATGCCACAAAGACCTCTTTAGCCTTATCTAAATTCTGTTCACTTATATGTTTCACTGTAAACCACCTGGTCCACACACCCCCTACCTTTCCTAAAGCCCCCTTGTTCATCAGCTATCCTATTCTCCGTCTTACTCTTAATTCTTTCAATAATAACTCTACCATACACTTTACCAGGTATACTCAACAGACTTACCCTAACTGCCTCCTCTTTTAGTTTATAAGCCTTCACCTCTCTTTTTCCCTAAATTCTATTCTCCTTGTATCCCATCTACCTTTTACTCTCAGTGTAACTACAACTAGAAAGTGATCTATCTGTGGCCCCTCTATAAACATGTATATCCTGAAGTTTACTCAACAGTCTTTTATCTACCAATACATAATCCAACAAACTACTGTCATCTCGCCCCCATCATTCTTTTTTTGTTAATATTTTTATATATGCTGTTGTATCGGGGCACCACGCAAAACACAGTGTTTATGTATGGGTGAAAGTGTTGAATGATGAAAGTATTTTTTTTTTGGGTCACCCTGCCTCAGTGGGAGATGACCGACTTGTTGAGAAAAAAAATGCATTCATACTTTGTGCAAGTTCATTTAATAAATGTACAGAGCCTCACTTTTGGGTCAAAGAGCTATAGATTTAATATAATACAATTTTTTTTGAGGTGAATTATTTTTTTTTGGTTTATATTTTACAAAATCCTGGAGTAGGATAAAACACAACCCCCCGGGGGGTTTTTCTCTGCCCCCCCAAAGGAGGAAAAATGGAAGCCTTTAATTGTTTTACATCCTGGTAGGATTGCGGGGTTTTTTTTTTCCTGCTCAAAACAGCAAGATTTCGGGGACATCTTGCGCTTCTATTTACCTTAGGTCACACTACACATACGTACAAGCATATACATGCAAAATATATAAAATATATATAAATATATTTTATATATTCCCCACCCCCTCGGGGTTTTTCTTCTATTCTTTTGTGTTCTTGTTTATTTCCTTTTTCTCCAGGGGAAAATGGAACAGAATTCTTCCTCGTAAGCTTTTTGTGTCTTAAGGGTGACAAAAAATCCCGGGGAGCAAGGGGGCTAGAACCCTTCCCCTGTATACATTAGAAATTTAAAAAAAGAAAAATTTCGTTTTTTTTTTTGGGGGCCACCCCCGAGTCATGGAATATGGCCAGTTTATTGAAAAAAAGGAAAGTTTTTAAACCCAAATGCTTATTTTTTAGATTTTTTAAAATGCATGGGTGGAAGGTTTTTTTTTGGAGACTGATTAAGACTCACAGACTAAATAAGAAGGTTGATCCGGGTAGCTGCCTATCCCTGCCCCCAGCTGAATGCCAGGAGAGGAAAATGGTGGAGTCACACAAACTTTCCCTCAAGCAATTTTTCTTCCCAATACCTTTCAACATTATATACCCAAAAAATTTAACCCTCCCCATAACAGTGAGGAAGGGGTAAAAAATATCAGTTTTGGTTATATACATATGAAAAGAGGGTGGGAGTAAACTAGTGAGAAAGGAACAGTCCATTTACGCTTGCACTACATACATCCCTCCGGTAGTAGATTCACCCTACCCTCCACATCACCCTAAACCACAGAATGGGGAATTTGATGACATATATAGAGAATTTTGAGTTACATATATTTTAGATAGGGTGGGGGGAAGAAAGGGAGACTGAGGAAGAGGAGTAGGCAACTGACATACAAAATAATCCTTTCACTTTGTTTATAAATGCCTAAAATCACTTCATTAAATGTTATCCACCTTAAAAGTTGTTTTTTTTTTTTAACATGTCAGCCATTTCCCACCAAGGCAGGGTGGCCCAAAAAAGAAATATTTTCATCCCCACTCACTCCAAAACTTCTTACCGGGTGTGCCAAACACATTTCAAAATCTCACAATCTCTACCCTTCCTTTAAGTTAATTTTCAAAAAGATTTTTTTTTTTTTTTTTTTTCAACAAGTCGGCCGTCTCCCACCGAGGCAGGGTGACCCAAAAAAGAAAGAAAATCCCCAAAAAGAAAATACTTTCATCATCATTCAACACTTTCACCACACTCGCACATTTTCACTGTTTTTTTCAGAGGTGCCAGAATACAAAAGTCTAGAAGCAACACATATAAAAATACACAACTATCCCCCAAACGCCAAAATCCCAAACCCCCCCTTTTAAAAATGCAGGCATTTTTTAATTCCCCTTTCCAGGATCAAGCCGCTATATAAAAAAAAAACCGGTTTCCATGAATCCTTCACTAAATATTACCCCGCTCACACTCCCAAAAATCGTCAGGTCCCAAGTACATTTGTCCCATTCACTCCTATTAAAACGCTCACGCACGCTTGCGGGGGAAATCCAAACCCCTTACCCCAAAACTCCTTTTACCCCCCCCCTCTCCAACCCTTTCGAGGCGACCCTACCCCGCCTTCCTTCCCCTATAGATTTATATCTTTTCCCTGTCATTCCTTTGATCCATTTCCTAAAGACCAAACCCCCTCAACAACCCCCCTTCTGCCCTCTGACTAATACTTTTATTAACTCCCCACCTTCCTAATTTCCACACTCCAAATTTTCTGCCTAATTTTACACCAACATTTTCCCTTAAACAAATTTTCCAAGGGCCCCCAACCGTCTCCCGCTGCTGCATTTACCCCCCAAGCTTCCCCCATATAAAGTGTTGGACTACTAAACTTTCATACATTCCCTTCTTTGCCTCCATAGATAACGTTTTTTGCTCCAATATACCCAACGCACCACCCACCTTTTTTTTTCCCTCATCAATTTATGATTAACCTCATCCCTTTATAAAACCATCCACCGACACGTAACTCCCCCGTATCTGAAAAAATTCACTTCTTCCCCTACCCCTCCTCCCCCAATTTGATACCAATTTTTTTTTATCTAAAACATTTTTACACCCCATCACCTTACCTTTTCTATTTCACTTTCAAATTTCACCTTTACACACATTCCCAAACTCATCCACTAACCTTTGAATTTTTTTTTAAAAATCCCCATAAGCCAGTATCATCACAAAAAGTAACTGTGTCATTCCCCTTTTTAATTTGATTCCCCATAATTTAATCCCCCCCCTCTCCCAAACCCCTAGCATTTACTTCCTTTTTCAACCCCTCTAAAATATTTAAACAACCGGGACTTTCACATCCCCGCTAAAACCTACTTTTACCGGGAAATATCTCCCCTCTTCTACACCCCTAACCCGAGCCTCACTACCTCATAAAAATCTTTTCAGCATTTTAAAAACTTACCACCTATTCCTATACTTGCAACATCTGCCCCATTGCTCCTCTATCCCTCTACAAAAGCCTTTTCTAAATTCATTAAAACAATAAAATTCCCCCATCTTTACTAAATACGTTCAAAATATATGCTTGTAACATGTTAACACCCCACCCACTTAAAAACCTCCTTGCCATCGCAACCTAATTCTGTTTCTTTTCTTTTTTTATAACCCTAAGAATTTTTTTTGGTATCGTAACTTATTCCCCTTAATTTTTTACATTCCGCCCCCTTTTTTTATATAAACATACATGCTCTTTTAACCCTGGGCTTTTTTATTTCTTTATTTTAAAAAAAGTCCAACCACTCAACCTTAAAACCCCCCTTTTTAACTTTCTCCTGATCCCCCCAAAAAGGGCTTTAAAAAACCCCCCTTTATTTAGTAATGCCTACGACCCCCCCCAATAATTCTGTTTAATAAAAAAGTGGTTCCTCCCTGACCCGGGTGAAATTTTGTTGTTTCTTTAAATTAAAAGTTTAAAAATTGGGATCAAAATCCAAACCCCCCTTTCTAATTATCGTTTTTTTTAAAAAAAAAAATAAATTTTTTCCCTAGGGTTTTTTTAATTGAATCATCCCAAAATTTTTTTTTTTATTTTCATTAAAATTTCTTGACAGCGCCTCTCCCACTCTATCATCTGCTCTCCTTTTGCACTCTCTCACCACTCTCTTTACCTTTCTTTTACTCTCCATATACTCTGCTCTTCTTATAACACTTCTGCTTTGTAAAAACCTCTCATAAGCTACCTTTTTCTCTCTTTATCACACCCTTTACTTCATCATTCCACCAATCACTCCTCTTTCCTCCTGCCCCCACCCTCCTATAACCACAAACTTGTGCCCCACATTCTAATCCCTGCATTTTTAAAACTATTCCAACCCTCTTCAACCCCCCCACTACTCATCTTTGCACTAGCCCACCTTTCTGCCAATAGTCGCTTATATCTCACCCGAACTTCCTCCTCCCTTAGTTTTATACACTTTCACCTCCCTCTTACTTGTTGTTGCCACCTTCCTCTTTTCCCATCTACCTCTTACTCTAACTGTAGCTACAACTAATAATGATCCGATATATCAGTTGCCCCTCTATAAACATGTACATCCTGGAGCCTACCCATCAACCTTTTATCCACCAATACATAATCTAATAAACTACTTTCATTACGTGCTACATCATACCTTGTATATTTATTTATCCTCTTTTTCATAAAATATGTATTACTTATTACCAAATTTCTTTCTACACATAGCTCAATTAAAGGCTCCCCATTTACATTTACCCCTGGCACCCCAAATTTACCTACTACTCCTTCCATAACATTTTTACCCACTTTAGCATTGAAATCCCCAACCACCATTACTCTCACACTTGATTCAAAACTCCCCACGCATTCACTCAACATTTCCCAAAACTGGCTCAACATTCTTATCCTACCTTGATGATGAATGTGATGATGAACCTGAGGAGTAACTTCTTGTGCGGGAAGTCTTTTTCTTTTTAGAGGAACGTGGCGGAGTTTTGCGTCGCGCCCAGGGGTCGGCCCAAGCTTCTGCTTCCCCACGTGTGCCTCCACCAGACGACACAACTTCCATGTAGCGGTCATCTTGCCACACACGAGTGCGCACATATCTGTACAGTACAGTACTACAGGTATGCATTCACTATTACAATAAAAATTAGACTACTACCTTCAAAATTTGTAAAAAGTGTGTGTTTTTACATGTGACCAAAAGTTGAATAATTTTCTTAAAAAATACAAAATAAATAAATGCATGTAAAATAGCACCCTTTAAAAACATTTGGTGCTTTATACCTACTATATTTAAGATAACTAGTGTATTTAAGATAACTAGTTAAGAATGACATTACTGTGTAAGAATCAGAAAGTTGAATTTACAAATGGTTTTCTAAAAAACAATATGCTGAGAACTTTCCCTTTTATTTTCAACAACTGTTGTCCATTATTAAACCATGCATACATAGCAATTATGCTTATTTGACTGTCTGCATGAATGACAAGCTTCAGTTAATCAGTCTAAGTCAGACTGAAACATCGTCATACCTTTAATTCTCCTATGTGCAGGTTATTTGTGCATGAATCAGTATCAGGATTGTATAGCATTTACACATGACTGACAAAACAAGATTATTTAACCAGTGAAACATGCAAAAATAAACAACAAGCAAAACAAACATCTCTAAGTGCTGCATATATCACATCATTTATAGTGAAGAACTTGGCCTGCCAAATGACAAGAATTATCTAACAAGTTCTTACCTTTCATCACCACCACCTGAAGTTGTTCTTGGTCTCCGCTGAACTCTCTCTGAGACTTCACGCTCGAACTTCTCACGTCGTGATCTATCCTGACCACCTCCACGCATATATCTTGGATCTACATTATATCGAACTTCAAAGTTTTCAAAGTGACCTACAAACAAAAAGTAATTTAATCATCAAACTGTGTTTTTACGAATTAATCACTGGTATAATGTAATTACAAAACAAAGAACCAGGGCAAATGTAGCCATGTGTTTATACAGAATACACAGTCCAGGTACTAGCTTACCGCCTCGGAAATGTCTGATAGCCTGCTTTTCATATGGATCAAGATATTGATCAATGACCTCGTCTGGCTGCTTGAACACGGGTGATGCTGGCCGAGTGTAGTAGTCATTTTCACGATCTAGTTCTGCTTGACCTAAGCTGAGGTTGAAACGTTTCTCTTCAAAATCAGCATCTGTTTCTTTACGTTTATTTGCACGCTTCATCATCTACACGAGAACATAAGAAGTAATGATTAATGAACAAAAACAAAATCAATAATTGTATTCATATAGTTTGCAAAGTTCAATACAATAAAGATCTCCGTAGGCTCTCTTCATATTTATAAAAATATATCCTCTAACTGAAATAAAATATGAAGAGGCAACCAATCTCTGAACACATTACTGTAAGGTACAGTAATATACATCAACCCACAATTTGGAGGGCAAATATAAAACATTTCAATCCATCTAAGACCATTATCAAGTCACAACTTAGTGAGAAAATTGAAAATGGCTACAAAAAAAAAAAAAAAAAAAAAAAAAAAAAAAAAAAAAACAGAGAGCAAGTGAGGGGAAGAAGGAAGGATCAAGTCAAAAGACAAATCTGGTGTTTGGTTTTCTCCTCATTTTCCTGCTTGTCTTGATGGTGGGCCAGGATGAACCAAACATTTACTAAGGTTCTTAGCAAAAGTTTGAATTAATAGCGAGATATTCTAGCCACAGAACTGTAATTTTTATTCTTTACAATAATGTCAACGTGAAAATTTAAGTGGGTAGTGAATTTAATATTGTTGTGCAAGCATATTACTTCTTATCAGCAACTGCCCAGGGAGGTACTACCGTCCTGCTAGGTGAGTGTAAAATTGAAGCCTGTAATTCTTTTACATGATAGTAGGATTCCTGGTGTCTTTTTTTCTGTTTCATAAACATGCAAGACTTCAGGTATGTCTTGCTACTTCTACTTACACTTAGGTCACACTACACATATATGTACAAGCATATATATACACACCCCTCTGGGTTTTCTTCTATTTTCTTACTAGTTCTTGTTCTTGTTTATTTCCTCTTATCTCCATGGGGAAGTAGAACAGAATTCTTCCTCCCTAAGCCATGCGTGTTGTAAGAGGCGACTAAAATGGTAGGAGCAAGGGGCTAGTAACTCCTTCTCCTGAATGAATTACTAAATTTAAAAGAGACTTTTGTTCTTCTTGTAGGGCAACCCTGTCTTGGTGGGATATGGCTAGTTTGTTGAAGGATTTCTTTTTAATGAGATGATATATTTTTCATCATTAGTCCTTTGACTTCTTCATAGTGTTGAAGAATTTAAAAAAAATATATTTTTTCTTATAAAATGATAGAGAATCTTTTTCTGAAGGTAATGAAACCAAAAGCTCAATATTTGATGGAAATCTTACTCCTTTTATTCTATCAACTGAATACAAGAAACCACTCATTTACATATTACAACTACACAAAAAAGTGATCAAAAATTACTAATTTGGACAATTTCTCACAAAATTCAAGAAAAGCCAGCTTCAAAATAGGGGCCAGAATAAACAATGCAGACATTCCTAGCACTAAAATAACATTTTCTCTGTTCATTAGTCACATCTCCAGGCCTCTCTTATATTACTCTTGCTTTTCATTTTGAATTTTTATTCACACAAAAAATAGATGATTTACTGTTATTCAGACTATTGCATAATTTGTAGTAAGTGTATAAATAGTATCAGCACATTTGTGAATGCATATTAGACTCACCAGTTGATGTGTATTGGATGCGTGACATGATTTGTTTACTCTCAAACCTTGTCAAAAATCAAACATTTCCGCTACTTTGAGCTCAATTTCAAGCTACTTTTATTTGCTAAACCATTCAAAATCACCTCAAATTCTGTAATATATCTTCCATTCTATCAAATGAGACCAATAAAATGAGAATACAACCACAAATACCATACGAAAATATACCACAAGTTCGCTGTTTTAAACCAAAAATGTTGTAGTGTTTGTCAGGAGATAACTGGAGTAAGAAATACATGTTGGATGTCTTGGAGGCATATAATTAAGAGAATCTTGAGGGAAGCCTGGCCTGTATCTGATGGCTCACATGTGAAAAGTCTCGTGATGTCACAACTAGCAAGGGAATATATCTATAAAGTGGCTGGGATGATCTAAGTGTACTACACAAGTAACACTGTTGACAAAAACACAGTCACGTTTTTTTCTCATTATGCATTGCTTGCTGCAGGATTTTTTTTATACTGCACACACTGACCACACAATTGCATTCTCTTATATAAAGGCCTACCAGCTTTCTTCTGAAGATTCGAAGCTGCCAGAATTTTGGCGTAGTATTATGGGACCAACACTGGCATCAGAGCCATAATATTTTGGGAGGGAAGCTCAAAGGGTTAAGAACAGAAAGGCTCAATAGCATTACTGGAACAATACACAAATAACCTACAAATAAGACAGAGGAGCTTACGACGTTTCTATCTGACTTGGACCATTTACAAAGTCACACTAACAGAAAAGAGTTCATGTTCATGTAGGTTTGCCAGTACGGGTCCTGGCCTGGAACTTCTCCATGTGGTGACCCGGCAGTGGCTCCTTAAGGAATGTCAGAGTTGGTACAAGTGATATACTGTTTACAGCCCAATGGCAGGGGCAGCCCTATGACAAGGGCACGGTGAGTTGACTCCAACTGAGCAATGCCTGGCGCTGAGGTTGCAGCCCGATTGCAAGAACGACTCAGAAAGTTCTCTGGAGGTGTGATGAACCCCCAACGTCAGACAGAAGTACTGTGTGAAAAAAAAAAAAGTGAGAAAGCAAGTATATATAGGCAAGCAGGAAAAGGGATGGGAACAAGAGAGGTAGAACGGGAAGTACTGGTAGGTAGATAGTGGAAGCAGTAGTAGAAGAAATAATGGTAGAAGAAAGTGGGGAGAGTAGTTTAGCGGTAAAACAGAGAAAAAAAGAGGGAGTGAAGGGTGAAGGGAGGCAAAAGTAAAGGCAGTAGCAATAGTAGAGGAATGAAGGGGAGAAGACTAAGTAGAAGTGAAAAAGGAGCACTGCAGGAGAGCTAAGGGCCTGCAAGAGGTGGGACCAAGCACAGGGAAAAATACCAACACCAATAATGCTCTGTTCTGTCATGTTAGAGATCACAGTCATCCTACTGACTGGTCCTCTGCTAAAACTATCTACCCTACTGCTAGCTTTCACAGTCACCGTCTTATTGTATGAATCTTAGCCCAGGTTTCATCTCTGTAGATTCCTTCCTTTCTCATAACACTGTCAAGTGTCCCAACCTTCAGAACACCCATGACAACCTGATCCTGTCTTCCCATGCTTTCCTATTTTTTCCTTTTTCCTTCTTTGTTTTCCTTTCTTTGGTCTATTGTGTTCTGTTATTGAGTCTAACCCCTTGCAGGCCCTTAGCTCTCCTACAGTGCTCCTTGTCTTGTCCTTAGACTGATCCTACCTCTACTTAGTCTTCTTCCCCCATTCCTCTACTTCTGCCACCCTTCACTTTCCCTTTTTTCTCTCTTTTGCCACCAAACTACTCTCCCCACTTTCTCCTACTACTTCCACTGCCTACCTACCACTACTTCCCCTCATTCCTATCCCTTTTCCAGCTCTTCTATATATACGTACCAGCTTTCTAATTCTTTTCTGTTAAGTGTGACTTTGTAAATGGTCAAAGTCGGATCAAAACGTTGATGTAAGCTCCTCTCTCCTATTTGTGAGTATTTGTGTATTTTTTATCATTATTACTCCATTCTCAATTTCAATGGATGTAGGAGACACCCACTAAAAAAAATATGATAAAGGAAGTAGGCTTGGTAAAACACAACAGTAATACAGTTTTGTTTAAACAAAACATCATTGTTTTAGCACAATGGCCATCTTCCACCTAAGTAGGGTGACCCTAAAATAGAAATACATTCACTATAATTTATTCATTACTTGTCTTGCCAGAAGATTGCAGATATCACAATTCAAATGACCCCCTGAACCATACCTTCTTCACCCTTCCTTCAGAGTGCAGCCACTGTACTTCCTGTCTCCAGTCAGGCTAACTAGTTTCCCTGAATCCCTTCATAAACATTTCATGTCTCATGACAAACCATAAAAAACTACTTTTCCACACTCACTCCGGTCTAACATGCTCAAACAAGCCTGCTGGATGCTTAAACCCTTCCTGAGATAACCCTTAACCTTCCATCCCAGATTTATACATGCTTTTGAAATGCCCAAACCACCTTAACAATTTTTCCTTAGCTTTCTGAATTAAACTTCTGTTAACCCCACACCATCTTCTAGTTTCTATGGTCTGAATCCATTGCATGACATCATACACTCCTCTCAAACATAAAATCTCCACTGCCTTTAACCTCCTTTTCTGCTGCAACATTTAACCCTTTTAGGGTCCAGAGGCCAAATTTCAAAGTGCACACCAGGGTCCAAGAATTTTCAAAAAAATTTTGTTATTTTTTCTTATGAAATGGTAGAGAATCTTTTTCTGAAGGTAATAAAACAAAAAGTACGAAATTTGATGGAAAATTGACGAAATTATGCTCTCGCGAATTTTGATGTGTCAGCGATATTTACGAATAGGAGATTTTGCTGACTTTGACTCCCATTTTAGATCAATTACATTATTCCAATCGACCAAATTCTTAGCTATTTCACTATTATTACTTCTATTCTATCGATTGAGCACAAGAAATCGCCCAGTCAACTGTTTCAACTACAAAATAAAGTGATCGGAAATTGGTAATTTGGCAAATTTAACACAAGGTTCAAAATATTCCAATTTCAAAATAGGGTCCAGAATAAACAATGCAGGCATTCCTGACACTAAACTAATATTTCCTCTGTTCATTAGTTACATTTTGAGGCTTTACAAATGAATTCCATTTTTATTTTTTATTCACATAATGAATTTTTATTCAAACCAAAAAATAGAAGATTTACTGTTATGCAATACTGTAATAATTGTATAAATATCATCACCACATTTGTGAATGTATATCAGACCCACCAGCTGGTGTGTATTAGACGTGTGAGGTCGTTTGTTTACTCTTGAACATCGGCAAAAATTTAACATTTCCGCTACTTTGAGCTCAGTTTCAAGCCATTTCCAGTACTAAAACCAATCAAAATCATCTCTATGTCTGGAATATATCTTCCATTCTATCAAATGAGACAAAGAAATCGCA